TCTATTTATTTTGCAATAGAAGCTGGGCAATCCAAAGAGAAGGGAATGTCAATTGCTCTTGACACCCTTTCTAGCTCTGAGATAACTCTGCTAAGTGTGCCTTCATCTGGCAAATAGAGCAAGGTTGAGAATATAGTGCCCCCCAAAACCCTTCAACTATCCCCTCCCAGTGCCATACAGGTGGTGAAGACAGCAGCATGACAATTTTAAAGGACATAAATAATTAATACAAATGAATTCTAACTTCACGTTTATTTAAATGTGTTTTAAAGATATGAACAAAGAGGTTTGCAAGATGACTCAAAGGTTCAGAGCACATACTACTGTTGCAGAGGACCCTGGTTCAGTTCCTGCCATACATAGATTGCATACACCTGCCTGTAATTACAACTTCAGGGAATCTGGTCTTCTCTTCTAGCCTCCTTAGATAACTGCATTCAAATGTACATACCCCCATACAGATACACTTGAATATGCAAATTTCAAAAATTCAAATACATCTTAAAATATGAACAACATTACTTGGCCATGAGTTTTTCTTAATATAAAGGTTTATTATTTCTTATGCAAGATTATAGAAGTGTCCATATAGAAGATAATGTTCTCCAAAACATTTTTCATAAATGTAAACAATGAAGTCGCAGAAAAAAGAAGTATAACAAGTATTAAGTGTGCTCTATGTGTGCACAATTCATTTTAATTGTACTGAGTGGTTTGCAAGTAAACGTGATCAGTTAGTATAAAAACAGTGTACATGTGACCCTTGTGGGCAGCCTTGAATGTTAGCATTGTAATTTTTGGATTTTTTTATTTATTGGTTCTAAAATCACTGCATTCTGTTTCATAAATCTAATGAGTTACGATGTTTTGTGATTTTTAAGGCTTTGGACAAAAGAATGTAATGAAATACACAGAATTTATACAGAAGTTGAACCAATGTTTATTATGTAGAATCATTGATAGACGTCTATGCCTATTTGTTCACATGTGACAGAGAGCACATGGCCTATAAAGTCTGAGGTTTACTGTTTGCCTCCATGCAACAAACCTGTAGACCCTCATCTTAGATATACCTAATGCTAATTTTTATATCCATGCTGATGATAAATTTGACGAAGTTCATTTTATAGTCAGTGGATGAATTCTACCAAACCAGATGCTTGTGTCTTTATTTCTCTTTCTTATATGAGAAAGAGAAAATGACATAATGACATCCGTAGTTCCCATGATGACTTTGTGACTTCACTAATTGTGATCTTCATGATTCAGGCATTCCCGACATTATTAATCTTGCTTGTTACTATGTATTTGAAGCATCAGTTTGTCACATAATTTCCAGTCTTATGAGTCTCAGACATTAAAGAGAAGTTCAGACTCTGTCACTATGTCACTAAGTCCATGACTTTTAGTTCTGAGTCTTTTTTCAATTATCATTACTACTTTGTAAAGGATTATTGAGTTAAACAAGTATAATAGTTTTTATACATATTTATTGTATAGCATATAAATTATAACAGAAAATAATTAAAATGTCATTTCTAAAATATGTTCAAATTGTTACATAATTGTATTATTCTTTATTATGCATTTCCCCTTTGAACAATGAAATTGTGGCTTATTGTGACTTGTTCTGCAACTATTTTTTGTGTATCAACTCTTTGAATATTGATTTATAATAATTTATACAAATTCATTGATTATTCAATTTTTGTAATGCTTCTAGATAGATAATCTTCCTGTATAATACTGCTTTTATATTTATTGTGACAACCAGATTCTATACTTCACATTGCACATTTCAAAACATGTTTACAATATGTAATATAAAATGCTTACATTCACTGTTGCAATTAATTTAAATTATTCTTTTGCACAGGAGTCAAAATTTTTCTTGAACACAGAAGCACTTGTCATACCGTTTGGTAATGTTGAAAGCCTGACTAAATATCTTGAAGGTAGTTGAGAGTTTGCACTGTTTTGCAAAGAGATAAGAAATAGAACCTTAACAATCCCTGTTTAATATATACACCTAATATTGTAAAAAAAAACAAAAAACAAAAAAAGTTCTCTTATGATTTGATATTCATATAGCTACGTCATATAAGTAGCATAGCAAAATGTTCATATGGTCTGTGTGTAAGTAAATGTTGTCAAGTGACTATAAATTCTCTTCTTCCTTCTTGGAGCCCCCATTAACAATTATTAGATTTTAAGTGTAGACTCAGGAAGATTTCAGTGCATCTGGGAAGTTTCTAAATGAAGATTTATGTCAGAATTTCCTGACAGAATACGTAAAAATACACATACTTGTACATATCCTAAATGTTATAAATCAATTTCTTAGAAAAGGGTCAGGAAAGTTCTGAATATCACTCTAGATGCTCTTAAATTAAAGATAAAGAGCAGATGCCTAAGTAATTAAGTCGTTCTGAGCACTAGAATACTGGGCTAATCTCAGGATACCACATAAAGGTGGAGGGAGACAAAGTGACTCCAAAAAATCATCCTGTATTCTCCACAAGTATACCCTGGTATGAGCTTGGAAATATAGACACTGCCCACAATAAAATAACAATGAAAAACTTTAGCATGAAATTGTCTCATTAAAATACTGCAATATTTTATAAAATACTTGTTATAAAATACTTATAACAAGATATGTGTCACTGCATATCTGGCATTTTTGTATGGAGTCTCAAATTTGATTTACACTATTGATTCTCCTCCCACAGAGAAATTTGCATAGTTTGTTTTGTTTTGCTTTGCTTGTTTTTTATCAAAATCAAAATATATGCCATTGTCTTTCTTGCAATGTCTTCCATTTGGGCTATCAGCGTCATCTGGCTCATAGGTGTAATTCAAATTAAAGGTGGTATGTGCACAATATCAATGCTTTAAGTCAGCATTTTTATATAATTTAGTAAGAATTAATTGAGCTTTTTTTCTAAAGTTAAGGAAAAATGAGTACTGAGAATAAGAGTATGAAAACAAAAATCTGAGTCACAAGTATTGCATGAGATGCATATAAGCATGTTATTAATACTTGTCTAGGCTGGGAAATGAACCAATTTTGTGTATCAGTTCATGTATTTTTTTGTATTAACCTAAGAGAGGCAGTAATATATGTAATAAATGTTGTATAGTATGTGTATGTCATATGAATATGTGTTTAAGAGTATATATTCATTTATTCAAAATATAGTTTATACTACAAGTACTATAGTATATATAATATATAAATACGTGTATATTTTATATTTATAGTATATTTTAAATTTATAGTTATATAGATATAACACTATATTATATAATATAGACTATAGTTATAAAATATATTTTCTTTCATATAGAGTACATATAAAATATAATTCATACTACAAGTAGTATATTATATACTCTACATGATATATAGATTTTAGTATACAGTTTTTCATGTAATATATGTTAATGTAGTTTGTGTGGTGTAGATTATTTAAAATGCATTTTAGTTGATTTTATACCCTTTTGGAGACGAATTGGAATATCTGAATGCCCACATATGTGTACAACTCTGCCTGTAAACACAGTTGGTAAATTGTCTCAATGAGCAGGAGCAATGTCCCAATCAGTGGTACACAAATAGGGAACAAGATCCTGAAGGAGAGGAATGTTGGGCAAGAGACACAAGACAGACGGCAAGTCTGTATTCTGATCAAGCTGCCAACTTTATTTTTTCTTGGGAGCATTAAATAGTGAAAAAGACAGGGGGTGGGTAGGTTGCTGGAATGTAAGGTCTGGGAGACATCCCTAGCTGATAGGAAAAGATAAGGAAATTCTGAGGGTCTGCTAATTACTTCTGAAGGCTGGGGCCTGCAGGCACACTTAACTCACAGAGGGAGACAAGGATTATTTTCCCGGACCCAAAACTTGCCCTACAGAGGTGAATATCTTACTTAATTTGTGAGATAAGATGACTATAGCCAAAATACAGGCATTTTCTCCCAGAAGTAAATTTGCATTCCAACCATCACTATTATATTTTCAATATATATCCAGTTCAATATTTCTAATGTCCTTAGGAACTGAAATAATTTCTATCAAGTTCTTTATTATTAATTTAAAGTCATTCATTTTGTGTCATATGTAGAGAATTTGAGTTTATTCAATGTTGAGATTGAGAATGGAAGGTAAAAATGTTGTCTGTCTCTCCATGTTATTCAGTGATTAGACTGAGCATGGAAACTAGAACCAGCTGTCACGCTCCACAGGTTATCGTTCAGACCACACATGCAATTCCTATTTTAAACATATGGTGCTTTTAAAGTGAAATATTTAATTTTGTAATCAAGCTTCCAATGATTGCTTTTGAATAATATTTTAAAATCATTAGTCCTTTGAAGAAGATACATATAAATTTAAAATTCAGGGATATAAGTCTTAGACATCTATGGAGAGAGCTTTGGTGTTTGGCGTTGGACTGTTGAAGAAAGCAGCACCAGTGAGTGCTTTTTAGAAAGGATGCTGTATATTTTTGAGAGACATTGATACACTTCCAGTGCCATTAAAGTTAAAGCCTGAGCACCTGAGAAGTCAAAATATGAGTCCCGTAAGCCACCCGTCTTTTAAATGAGAAATTGAATTCAATGTGGACTTTCTCTTACATTTTAATTTATATTTCTGAGTAAGATAGATGGATTATATGAGTTAAGAATAATACACTGATGCCCTGTTGGAACATATTTTAAATCAGACCACATTCTTTCAGGTAATGCTATGAAGATTTGTGTCTGTCCCAGAAATGATGGCAGTAGAATGGATTAAGTTAGCTCTAAAAAACTTACCATGGTCGGAGCCAGAAAAATTAGTACGGACTCTGGCATAAACTCTTATTCTGTTTGAGTACTGATGATGCATTTTCATGACAGAGTCTCCACTAGAGTTATTGATATTCATACATGAAAAGGCTTGCTTTGGTGACTATCTATTCGATAATTTAATTTCCCTAGTATCTTTCTTTACAGGAACTCGATTTTGAAGCCAAAACAAGTTATACACTGCGCATAGAAGCTGCAAATCGTGATACTGATCCCCGGTTTCTAAGTTTGGGTCCATTCAGTGACGCAACTACTGTAAAGATAATTGTAGAAGATGTGGATGAGCCCCCTGTGTTTTCTTCACCCTTGTACCCCATGGAGGTATCAGAAGCTACACAAGTGGGAAATATCATTGGCACTGTAGCAGCGCATGACCCTGATTCTTCCAATAGCCCTGTGAGGTAAAGGCTTTTTACTCCACTTTACTACTATATTCATCAGTATTCTTGTATCCACATTCATACTTCTGTATAATGGTCATTTCTGGTTTATATTAATTAATGTATACATTCTTTCTGTGCAAAGCACTGTAGTATAAAACTCTCAACAGGATAGCAACTACAGAGCATCTCTGCTAATTCAATAAAAGAGTAAAGGAATTAATTAATTAACTAAATTAAGGATCAATTAATTTATCTTTTAAATTGATCTCTGTGGACAATTTGTGCTTATTACCTTTACTGTTTCTAGTAGTAAAATTAAAAATATACCTCATCTATTTATGCAGTTAGGTTAAATTGTCATTCCGAAAATAGACTAGACATATTTTTCCAAATAATTTCTTTGAGTATATTTATGGTATGCAAACAGTTCAAATTATATACACCCTCCCATTTGGGATCAGCTTGTGTGTTTGCATGTATGTGTGTGTTTGTTTGAATGTGATGAATGATACCTGTAGCTTGGGATAAACATAGTAAGTAAAATACACTTGACATATTATGAGAATGGTGCTTAATTTGTATGTAATATATTTCCTCAACCCAAGGTTGTTAAATTCTAGTTAAATTTATTTTTCTTTGTTAAAATGTACTTAAAACAATCAATATAAAAATAGGGCTACTTTTATCCACAGTTGCATTTTACAGTACATCATGACAGTGGGAACATGAGAAAATCGACCACATCGTATTAATAGTCAATACAGAAAGTGAACAACTGCATGCATGCTCACTTGCTTTTTACCAGTGCTTGGCTTGTATCCTTAATTCATTATTTAATTTTAATATGTGTAATATACACACATTTATAAAATTATAAATGCAACCTGCGGAGTTTATTTAGTATTGTGGATATGTGCATGCATTTAGGATTGATAGTCCCTGGAGAAAACTAATTTTCTTTCTCAGTGGTCATTGTCTGTAGTTCTTCATCTAATGTGCACTCTTGTGAAATTTTCTAAAATTGTAGAATATGGGTAGGAAATGTTTCTATATTCTTAAGCAGTTCAGGAGCCACTCCATAGATCCAGAGATCTGAAACATTTTATATTAATCAATTTAAACAAACTCTCACAATCATGTTCACAGTAGAAATTATATTATTGAAATTTCCTGAGAAAGCATTGCATTTTTTAGAATATTGTACATGAACTGAGTCAATGATAATGTTAAGCAGTAATTAAAAATGGGAAGGCAAAACAGGCGTAAATGAATAATCACTTATTTTAGGAAAGGTGAAGTATGCTCTGAGGCTGACCACTAAAAGAAATAGGTAGGACAAAGACTGAATTCAATGCAATGCAAGTCAAGATCTCATGACTTTTTCCAGTTAAAGACCATACCTGTCTAGTATTTGCCTTTTCTGAAGTAAGGAATGTGAGTGGGAAGTTAAGTACAATTTTATATTATTTTCTCACAAGCAGAATGTCTGGCTTGTCTCAAGCAATTTCAAATGACTGAACTTTGTATAATTGCTTATGTCTTTAGATTTATCAAATTTTTGTCTTAAGTCTAATGTTTCTATGCTTGAAACACTTTATGACTTTAAATCATTTTCATAATGTTGGCAACTAACATTCAAGGTACATAATTTTTTCTCATTTTAATTTGATATATTTTCCTTTCCTATCTTTTTATGATGCTTTTTAAGAGATACATGTTATGCCTTGTTGACTATATCTACTCTCATACAATCTCTTGAAATTGGTTCCCTTCCCAGCATTGATTTTGTTAAGTGGTGGACACTATGCCACAAGAATTTTCATATTTCTCTGTGAGACAACCATTAAGAAATTGCTCTGAGGTGTACTCTATTGTGTTTTCCTTTTTAAAATGATAAGTAAAAATCATGACCAATATTAGCAAATATAGTAATTCTGTATTTTTAATGTTAGGATATATAAAAATTTATATTAACTATAGTGTCATAAAAGTAAGTTAATATTGACCTTTTATAGACAATAACATCGGCTACCATTTAAGGATTTATTTTATGTTAATTGTGTGTGTGTGTATGTCTGCATATGAATATATATGTAGATACTTGTGGAGTCCAGAAGATGTTGTGGATCTGGAATGACAGGCAAATGAGAGCTGTCTGACATGAGTCCTTACAACCAATCTTGTTGTTGTAAGGACAGTAAGTTCTGTTAGCTTCTGTGCTGTTTTCTGCTCCCATTTTGCTATTTATTATTAATATTATTTCACATTCAAATACATCCCAATAAATGGCAAACATTATATAATGGCTTTGTGGAGATAAACATGTATTTTATTAAGAGATCAATTAATTCTCAGACTGTAAACCCTGCTTCATTATGTACCTGCAGAGAAACAGCATTTTTCTGAGGGAGGTAGAGAATCACAACTTACAAATGACTGCAGAATGTGATGAGACTTCATAGTTAGAATCTTGCTTCTATGACTTCACAAATGTTCATTTTATTTCACTATTTATTTAGTGTTTGTTTATGTGTGCATGTTTGTGCAATGCATGTCCATATATACTTGCACAAAGTGGCTTACAAAATGTAGAAGTCAAAGAATTGCTTTTGAGTCTTTCTGTCCCTTCTCACCATATGGGTTCAGATTGCTTGCCCCTATTGTCCTTGAGATATTGAAAAGCAGTGTTTTCTTCATTGCAATTATTTATAGGGAAGGCAATATTACTGGAAGTGTGAAATAGTACAGACATTGAGTTATCAGTTAACATAATAATGTTAAAAATTATGATATCAGATGGAACTCTGGCATATGCCATTCATATTTAGAAAATTTATTCTTATATGCTGTTTAGTCTAAGTAAAAAAAATTAGACCAAACTTCCAGTAAAGCAAATTTAAGTTTCTCTTCCAATGTAATATGGATCATATTATACTATATGTATTCATATTTAAAAGGAAAACTCACTTTGCTAATGTATTATACACAGCCTATGTGTAACTTTTCTGTATGCATTTTCCCACTTTGGAAATGGCTGCTTACATCTCTGTCACAACACTGGCATTTTAACTGTTAGAGATGTAATTAGTACAAATATGATTGTTATATGAACCCAGACCTTTGTGATTGCCTACACCACTAGGAAATGTTAAGACTCTGTGGCCTGACTCTCATCCAGATAGCTTGTTTGAAGTGTACCATACTTCATTTGCTTTCCATTTTCCTCGTGTGAACAAACTAATTCTTCAGTAAAAATTCAGTGATACTTAAAATTACTTAGGAAAATAAACACTGCCTCTTTATTTTTCTTTAAGCAATTGTAGATAATAGAGAGTGAGCATATATACCTGACTTGTTATAAAACATTTGTATATTTTTTATGTAACTTTAGACCTGAATGCTAGACCTATGGCTACATCTACCAATAAAGGAAGGACAGGCTGCAGTTCATTCTCTTTGATCACCTTCTAAAACAGTAACAACTTGACTTTGCAGTTCTTGACTAAGATTGTAAGAACTTTTATGGATTCTGGAGGCTTTAGAAATCATACTCATTTTTCAAGTCAGCATTGACAAGTTGATCAATGGCTCAGCATACATTTATTAATAAAGTGTTCTGTGAAACACTCTGGGGAAAATGCCAGTTGAAAACGGCCCTTCCTCCCAACTATCCCCCAACTCCCCCTCCTTCTCCCTCTCCATCCCTAAGAGCAGTCAGGGTTTCCTGCCCTGTGCAAAGTTCAAGTTCCTCCCCCCTCCCTCCAGGTCCAGGAAGGTGAGTATCCAAACAGACTGGATCCCCAAAATCCAGTATATGCAGAGGAAACAAGTCCCAGTGTCATTGTCAACGGCTTTTTGGTATGGGTTACTTAACTCAGCATAGTGTTTTCTAATTTCATCCGTTTGCATGCAAAATTCAAGATGTCATTGGTTTTTTTACCACTGAGTAGTGCTCTAATGTGTAAATGTGCCACAATTTTATTTATCCATTCTTCAGTTGATGGCCATGTAGGTTGTTTCCAGGTTCTGGCTATTACAAATAATTCTGATACAAACATTGTTGAACAAATGCTTTTGAAGTATTATTGAGCATCTTCTGGGCATATTTCCAAGAATGGTATTGCTGGATCCTGAGGTAGGTTGATTCCCAATTTTCAGAGAAACCACCACACTGATTTACAAAGTGGTTGCACAAGTTTGCATTCCCACCAGCAACTGATGAGTGTTCCCCTTCGTCCATATCCTCTTCAGCATAAACTATCAATAGTGTTTTTGATCATAACCATTCTGACAGATATAAGATGATATCTCAGAGTTGCTTTGATTTGCATTTCCCTGATAGCCAAGGAAGTTGAACATGTTCTTAAGCATCTTTTGACCATTTGAAATTCTTCTGTTGAGAATATTCCGTTTAGTTCAGCACACCATTTTTTTTAGAAATTTAATGTCTAATTTTTCGAGTTATTTATATATTTTATATTTTTCATATTTGTATTTTATATATTTTATTTATATATTTGGGAGTCAATCCTTTGATGTGAAGTTGGTGAAGATCTTTTCCCATTCTGTAGGCTTTCTTTTTGTCTTATTGATTGTATCCTTTGCTTTACAGAAGTTTCTGTTTCAGAAGATCCTAATTATTGTTGCTCTTATTGTCTGTACTACTGGGGTTATATTTATGAAGTGATCTCCTGTGCCCATGCATTGAAGGCTGTTTTTTACTTTCTCTTCTACCAGGTTCAGTGTGGTCAGATTTATATTGAGGTCTTAAGTACATTTGGATTTGAGTTTTGTGCATGGTGATACATATGTATCTCTTTTTATTTTTCTACAGGTTGACATCCAGTTATGCCAGCCCCATTTGTCAAAGATGCTTTCTTTTTTCTGTTGTACAATTTTAGCTTTTTTGTCAAAAATCATACGTTTATAGGTGTCTGGATTAATATCCATGCCTTCAATTCGGTTCCATTGGTCAGTATCTCTGTTTTTATGCCAATACTAAGCTGTTTTGATTACTA